GGGGGGGGTGTAATTACCATGTAGAAAGTTGTTTCAATGCTAGCAAATTTAAGATAATGAAGTGAATGAAAATTCATGGCAGGGAACCTAAGTAGCAAGGAAACAGAAGCTGGGAGGGCTGGTGCTTTTCCCAACAGGCCAGCCTGTATCATAATTGCTGTGCAGTTGCAAGAGTTCTTACAGATAATTGACCAGAAAATGATTAAGTCATCATCAAACCGCTCCTGCCTGGAAGAGTTCAAACATGTACTTAACCTATCCAAGAATTATATATTCACTCTGTGTGTCTGCTCTGTCTGTATTCAGCCTTGCGGGGAACCTGATTAAAAAAAAAAGACAACTGAAGGACCCCAGTTATCTGATCTCCTGGTTGCCGATTTCAATAGAACTTAAACCCATTACGATCTGCTGAACTTGGAGTTCTTTCCGTTTTATCTCAGCAGCAAAATACACTGTCCAAATTTCCAGACACTGAGATAAGGACCACAGGCCCCCATGACGGCTTACTGTTCCTTTTTAATTCTTTTAGAATAAGAAACAAAACATTACAAAATGATAGGAGGCTGTGCACTGGGGAATGAAAATTGCTTTGACATGGAGATTAGGCTCCTGCATTGTTACAAGACATTGTCTCATATGAACAAGGCTAGGAGAGGGGAAAAAAAGAGGGAGGGGGGTATTTTCTTTTCTAGAATGGCCCATGGATGACATAATGGAGACTACAAAAAAAGTAAGTCCGCATGACATTGTTTGGCAGGAGGGCATAAAGGGAGATTTAAAGTGTATTGTTGCAGAATAGAAATACCAGAGATGCAATGTACAAAAGACCAGAGTTGCTGGAACGTGACAACTCAGCAATTAAGGATCATGTCATCTGCTTGTCAAACAAACATACCACCCCCCAACACCTACACCCTCTGCCTCCATCCCTATCCCAAGTCATTTGAGAAAGAAATAAATGATAATTCTTTTAAGAATGAGAAGACTTTTGCTTGATGAAGCAGAGGTGACCTGCAACGTCATCTGCTTAAAGCTGTAAGGTACCCTGGATTACATAATACAAGGAGATTTCTAAGAAACAGAAGGTATTAAAATTCATAAAGACCTTTAATAGTAACCATATGGATATGTGTAAGCTATTGCTCTCCAATGTTATGTCTTGTGGACTGGACCAAGGTTAGCTTTTAAGCTATAAATCAAATTTGAGTATAAAATTCCAGTCCCTTTATGTTCTTCGTGTGTCAGCTCAGATTTATACAGTACATACTTTGAACATAAAAATATACAAATATAACACTGGAAGTATTACTTCATATTTCCTCCAAAACTAATTCAAAGCATAGCAGACAATATCCACTTATAATAATTAAAACAAAATACCTGTATTTTGCACAACATTAACAATCCATGCACAACCACATCTGTGGTGTGCTAATATATGTTTACAAAAAAAGAAAAAAAACTAATTGCTACAATAAAGGGCCTGTGTTTCCACAGCTTAAGAGTCCCTGACTTTGATTAATGCTTCCCACGGGATACCTCCGTCCTGATATTTGCTAAGGAAACTTCCTAAATATTCAATGAGCACGGTCAAAAGATGCATAAAACAAATCAATTTGACACCTTAATCTAGGCAGGCAGCAGTTGACTCAAAGGGAGGAGAGGCTGAGAAACATCATTTCACACAGTCATGCTCAAAAGCCTGTGAAAGGCTGTTCTTCAGCTCCACGTCGACAATAAGGCTATTAAATGGGTTATTCTCAGAATCACCAGGGAGCACCCCTAAATCAGTTTTTTTTAAAAACTCTACTAGGAACAAAATTTAGCTTCCTGAATTCAATGTTCTGTTGTCTTCTATCAACTACATAAAATTGCCAATCTCCATGGTCATAGCCCATGTACATTTCTCTTAACAGTGCCCCTTAACCTGTGTATCAAAGAAACATTAGTGAAACATAAGAAAAAAGTGTAAATAGATGTTAATATGCATACTTAAATATGTTTAGTATTATTGTGAGGGGGGACAATTTCTAAGTTATATTTAAGGGGAAACCAACTTTGTGGCTACAGCTTCACTATCCTGTTAGCATGGCTTTAAAACACAGCATGAAATTTGTCAAATTACTTTTTCAAATTCAACTATAAACTCAGAGAAAACACTCTGCAGTTAGGTCAGTAATTATAAGATGTTGTTAAAAATAGGTAGAATAAATTTGAGGACAGCAAAAATTTAACAATAACGGACAAAATGACAAGGGATGCCGTATACTCTCAATGTGAAACACTGAGGCCTAAAGAGTTTCATTAGACTGCAACATAATGCCATAAAGATGGCATGTCTGAAACTATAGAGGATGGTAGTCAGGAATAATATTAAAACATTATTTTTTTTCATTTAAAAGATGGCAAAACTATGTTTAAGGTCATTTACAGAAAAAGATTTATGCCCATTTACTGGAAGTATGAAATATCCTTAATATCAAACTTCTTTATGCCCAGAGTTCACTATAGCAAATGGTGCCTAACTCCTGATGACTGCTGCTGTTTAAAAGAAAAAAAAAATTATGGGCAGCTTCTAATTTTTATTTTGTAGGAGACAAAGTAAAGGGTACACATATATACAATACAGCATCACACACTACTTTGTTTCCCGCCCTGACCTCCAAGCATCAGCAGCTGGTGCTGCCTCCTGGGTCGAAATAAACATTCTGACCCCATCACTGAGAGCTGTTCTCCTCATCCACCCTTGACCTTTCACACAACCCTCTCCCTTGCCAGTTCCCACTGAATGCATTTACACACGTCAGGCTTTTTCACAAGAACTGTCCCCCAAATTATTCCAAAATGGGCACAAATGAGTCAAAAACCAAGTCCTTAATACAGATTTCAGAGAGCAGGCCAAACACATTGATGTTGCAACAGATGGTGAAACATACTTGCTATACCTTACGCTATGGCACAAACGTACACATTTCAGATACAAAAGCAAGGTGGTGCTGACTCTGAGGTACATAAAAACTGAATACATGTAAATGATCTTTTAATCCCCTTCAATATTTTAAGAAAGCTTTTGATGTCTTTCTAAACTGTCACTGTGCCAGACAACTGTAGCCTGAATGTAGGTAATAAAAGAGAAAAAATGAAATTTAACTTTTTGTTGTAGTAGCTGTTTGAATAGATGGCCTATTCTGGCTTCCTGTGGTAATTCTAAGAGGGGGGAATGTTAATCTCTTCATGGGTATTGGCTGACTCTACACAATCTGCACTACAAAACATCACTTTGCAAACATTACTCAAAGTACAATTCACCCTTTTCTACAATAAACTGCTACTTCTGATGCTCATTGATATATGGAGATTGCCATAAGCAGAAATAAACATACTGACTAGGAATATGGATCAACATTTAAATGACATTGAAATTCACAAAGGAGAGTAGTTTAGTAGTGATGATTGACTTCTGCTATGAAGTTTTAAATCCACTGTATGCAGGAGTTGAATAACCCTATTACCTTGTTTCAATCTCAGGATGTACTGAAACCGAAAAAACCTCCCTTCACTCATTTGAAAAAGTACTTTTCAGTGGTTTGCTTTGCATAGTAATAGACAAGTCTTTTGAGCTGGAATGAGTTACTGTCTTATAGAAATATTTTAAACCCAATAATAAAAAAACAGCATGAGATAATGACAGTATCATAGGTTAATTATCTCTAATTTTCATAGACTTATATAGAAGACTATTTCAGAAAAGCCACAATCATAGCTAAATCAGAAAATGCAGAAGAAAAATAAAATTTCTACACACATTTCATTTTAAATATAATACTAGCCATGTAAAAATATATCATTGCCCCTAAATTAATTTCCAATTAGACTTGAAAAGGTCATTGACAACTTAATGGCTATTTGCAGTCTATAAAAATATGATTGTTAGGTCAAAAAGCATCAACTCTTACCATATTAATTAGGACGTATTCACATGTTAAGTAATTGTCAAATAAACCCATTTCCCACACTCGTGAATGATCTATTCAGATCTAGTTAGCATTACGTATTCAATACATGCCATATAGCAGGCATTCCCATAGCTATTCAGCTCTAATTAGTCATTTATGCTTAATCCTGTACATGCCTAGTAGTAGTCCATCAAATACAAGCTTACTATTGTTTTATTGTTTAAGAATAGGCAGAGAAATAAATAAGGTAAACAGTTGACCTTAATTAAAACTAGGATTTGGGATGTTAGGAACGCTAACAGACAAACTGTCAAAAAATCATTACAAAGTAATGAACTACTTGGTTGAGATATTTAACAGATGGATAGTCATAGTTTTCTCTCATGTGAGAAATATGTTAACAGAAAATTATATTGTTTATATACTTTTGTTACAAAAACATTTTTTTTATCTGAAAGTCTGTTTTTTTTTTTACAAGTCATGAACAAATTGCCCAGACATTCTTCTCTTTACATTTTACTAAAACAAAAGCCTGGTATTAAGGCTAGAGTTTAAAACAAAATGAAGTGCTAATCTCTTCATGACTACCTACTGACAATCTGCACTTCAAAACACTATTTTGCAACTGTTATCACAGAATAACAAAACTCAGCTTTTTCTAGAAAAAGATATTCCCCTTAAAGATGTAATAACACTCACTAAACCACCAAATATTTCAAGAAGTTAATTGTTTTCAAATGAAAATAAGTGGTGCTGACAGCTGTGTAACTTTGATACTGCTAGTTGCTAACTTCAGTGTTATCGAAGCTTAGCCTTCTGCAGGAGTGCAGGTACAATTAGCCACATGGTGCTGAATTACTACCACTCCAACAGACCCCAATGACAAAAGTCAGGAGGATGTGGTCTCTGCTGAGAAAGGGAGGGGGTGTGGGGGGGGGCAGCTGGAAGCGGACAGCCTTCATCTCCTCATTTGAATAATGCGCCCTGAATCTGTCACATTATTTATCCTCCTTATGCTCAGTGTACGCTGCATCGACAACAAATTAAGTTGTAAATAAGAGACAATCAGCACCATTGTTTGTTGTTTTTTTTTTTGTTGTTTGTTACGCCCCTTCTTCTGCCTCTCTAAACCCAAAGCAGCAGCAGGAGTTTAAGAAATAAAAAAACAACAACAGAAAGGCACTAATAAGACAATGTATTATATGCGTCACTGTAAGCAATGCGGTATAGAATCCATGGGACAATGAAGTGAGGGACATTTTCTCATCAGGGATGGTACATCAAAGAAAGCACACATGAAAGTCTCAAAACTATGCTTGTCCTTACAGTCTTCACTTATTAAACTCAAGAACACTGTAATTGTATTAAACAAAATTATATACAGTATAATCAGCTTACCTTTACATCGGAGAAGAACATTTTCAGCATGTTGGAACTAGGGTATCTGGTATAAAAGAACATCAGCTTCGCCTTTTTTAAGTGATTGGGTGAAAGTCCTTCCTGAATTTGGGATAGTCGTGTCAAGGAAAAGTCATCAAATTTCATTATGAATTTCAATAACTGAGGGAATTAAAAATTCCACACTTTTGTGCTACATGTCAGGAGGTTAATTAACATTTTAACTTTCCCTCTTTTCTTGAGAAAGCTAAATAAAAATAACAGCCTGAACCTAGGCACAATTACCATTTTTGTCTGACTTTTCTGTTGCAAAAATCTACAATAGGAAAAGTACAAAAACAAGAGCAGCATTTTACATAATGCACTCTTATTTCACAGTCAAAATAACCAACCCCCCCCCCAAAGGAAAGAAAAAAATATTTGCATGTCACTGACAAAGAAAGCAGTTAACACTACATACATAGGAGCTTGAGATCGTTACAAGATATGTCAAGCCAAAATATATCTTAAGGTTATTTTTCTGGTAATGAAAAGGTCTTCTGGGGGACCTAAATCGATATATGTGGGTTTGCTGATCAATAAATGCCTACTTACCCTAATAAAGGCCCTATTTATCAGGAAACAGCATTACCCTCTAGATTTGTAAACAGAAGCTACTGAAGGGAGTCCCAGGAGAAAGTGAGGCTAACCGTAGCAATCTAGCCATTCCAATTATCCTACAGCTTCTTGGCACTCTTTTGTGTACTGTGAGTTAGGACGGGTTTGGCCACATCTGTGCCGCAGACTGGCCGTGCCATTTCCTCAGCAAATTAACGGCTTTATAATTTATCAGAAATGAAGATGCATGTGGAGAAAAATCAATGTGGCCCCACAAGGTCAATTAAGAGGGTTCCTCACAGAAGCTACTCCCGGGGTTGCTACTTCTTCAAAAGGCACATGGAAGAAAACAGCAAAGAGATTAAATAAAGCAATGAGATAAAATAGGTCCTCACATTGCTCAACTGGAGGCTCAACCTTCTTTAGCTGACCATCATACAAAAAAGCTTTAATTTCATATAAAGGTCAATACTAGATACACTCAGGTGCTCAGGGCAGAGGCACAGTACAGAGAAATAGGTTACTTTAGTCCACAAGTTTCTAAAAAAAGCTAAATATAAAATAACCCGTTGCTTCATCAGAAACCTGCAAATAGAACTCATGACATTTGGATTTCACTTTCAGAAGGAGGGATATTTTGTGCTCCTTTACATACTGTAGCAACACTTAGAGAATTACACACAATTTAAGTAAAAAACGGAACACTTTGGGGCTTTAAACACTTAAAATAGATTTCACAAAGAAACATGGTTTCTAGGTTGAAATAAGATTCAAGTGTTCTGAAACTGTGAAATCTGACTGAATAACATTTGATGAAACACTGAGAAATCTCTCATGAAAAAAATCTGAATCAATATTGCTTTTAAATTCTTAACCTTAAGTTCAAACAAACAGGAAATAATAAAAATTGTTTTTCTTATTTTTCTTTTTATTTCTCTGGGTTAATGTTCTTAGTAGAAAGGGAGGAAAACATAGTTTTTTTAGTTAGCAAACTCTGAAGCAACTTGATTGAACTAGCTCTTTGTGTTTCAGAAGCTTAATGATTGCATAGATGATAACTCATGATTGACATGCTTCTTGTGCCAAGTGAGGAGAGTTGAAAGAACCCTCAGTGACCTCCATTAGACTGATAGGGAAGACTAAAAGAGCATTACACTCTCCAATGCCATCTGTCATAACGCATAAGTGAAATAACAGCACCGAGAGAAAAAGCAAACCATCCTCTTTTGCCGAGAAAGAACTTTTGAAGGAGCCAAAAACTTGCATTGACAAATTAGAAAATTTTAAATGTACAGAAACACCTTATGCTTACTAGTAACAAGATTTTGAAGTTTATTACACATACACCATGGACTACGAATGCAAAAATGGAGTGGGGTTATTTAAAATAATCTAGTGAGCTTCTTAATGAAATTAATTATATTGAGAAGCTCTTTTCAAATTACACTACAGATCTGTAAACATGTCATATTGGTGATCTCAATTAAGAGGTAAATCTGTTTAAAAGCTTAGCAGTGACCACTGTCCTCATTTCACACAATTCAGAGTTCCATTAATTGTAGTTTGGTTTTTCAGACATTTCTATATCTCCCCTAGGACCCCCCTTCTCATCAAGAATGTCTTATGAACCCTGCTGCACACGTTTCAAAGGAAAATGTAAAATAACAATTGATTCGAAAAAAACTAACCATGGGTAAGAACATTTTGAAGATTGATGAGGAATACTAAATTTTCAAGTTAACTAAGAGATTTAAAGATTTAATTTCAAGCAGTCTTAAGTTAAATATACTAAATGTATAATGTGTAACGGAACTAATACTTTTTTGCTTAATAATCAGAGAGTAATAGAAAACTGTAAAAGATTATACAATACGTAACTAAAATTAACAGGTAAAATCTCAGAACATGTTCCACTCTTCATTACCTGCCCTCAAATAACCACAGATAATTGCTAAACAGTGCTAAGCCTGCTTTATGGGGTACAATGAAAGATGTATTTTTAAACAGTCTCATATGCAATTCTGCAATTTCCCTCACGGGATCAATAAAGTAATGTATCTATCTATATAAATTGTACAATATTTCCTTTAAAAAGGCTCCCTTTGGTTTTCTAACAACAAAAATAAGATATAGTAAAGACAGTGAATAAGCAGATGTTTTCTTTTTACCTATTAATTGCTCATACCCAAAAGCAACCTTTCTTCCAAGAAAGCTCTGGCTGTTTCCAGGTGACTTGCACATGCACAATGACTCATGACAGAATAGATCTGGTAAACATACAGCTGCGGCGAACACAAGCTAAGCCCTATTCAAGGCCGGGAAAGAAAATAAGCACAAATAAATATTAAGGAGTTTAAAAAAAGGAAAGTGAAGGCAAACATGCCATGTACCAGTAGCTCTTGGCTTGTCTAATAGCTCTCCGTGTCTGAAGACAGATGACATTGAATTCTGTGTGTCACGTAAAAGAGACAATAACTGCTGAAACTTGAACCAGCTGCCAGGTGTATGAAAGAAAAAAAAACAAAAAGAAGATGATAAATCCATAAATTAATGAAAGACATCTGCTCAGGAACATAAAAGATTAGAGGAACAGTGCACTGCAGCTGAACCTTAAGTAGTGTTCAAACAACCTGCAAATCGTAATGTTGGATGTTTACAAGGTATAATATGGATGATCACATCACTTGAGACATGGGTACAAGTATGTTCCCACTTTAAAAAAAAGAAAAGGAAAGGATATTAGGATAATATTTTGGAAAGACTGACGGCTGTAATAATGAAACTAATACCAACTGGAACAATTTGCAATCACAAGTACTAGTCTACGCCTAGTGATGCGTCAGAATCCTCATCTGCTTTTGTATCATCATTTCTAATTTGCTCATGGACCTTTTTTAAATATCAGTGTCAGAAATGAACAAAGCATAAAAGTTTGATTTCATTTTTTTAAGGATGTTTCTGAAGTGTATTGGGTACTGTAGTGGTGCATCAACATATAAGAAATGAATCTTAAAACGGCCCAAAATACAAAATGAAAAGAATAAGCAAGAAAATATATATATTGCAGAAAACTCTCTAGAGACATTTGGTAGTTCACATGGACGTTTTGCAAGTGGCTGCAAACAAAGAACACTCATCCTTTAGATAGTCTCTCCTCCACACTGAAGATCAGTGTATTTCTTTTGTACATCTGAAAACATAGCACAACCTCTAATCTATGGGAAATGCAAAGCGACTTCACCTGCTCAGATGTCTTAGTGCTGCACAACGCCATAGCTGTGCTTCGACTTTCTGTATGCAAATGTTTTGGGGACTGAACAAGGCTATTTTTCTTGAGATGCAAAGAGGCCGCGTGACAAGGAAGATCATACTGCTCAGGGACAAAGACAATTGGCTGTCTGTTTCTTCAGCTATTTGAATAAAACTTAATATTTGATTAAACAGCTTCATTTGCAAATATCTAGAATGTATCTGAAGCTCAAGCATTAACTCACTCTGCAGGTGCAGTTTCTTAGCATATTAAAAATAATCTTGTAGCATTAACTCCTATATTTCGGGTTAAAAGAAAAAAGAACCCTCAATTCTATAAATATTTTTTTTGAAACAAGTAGCATGCACAACCATGTACTTCTGGTAAAATTTAAAAAAGGCACTGCGTGAGCTCATATTAATAAATACTAGAAATACTGCAAAGATAAATGGGATATTCAAAACACCATATATGCAGAAAAAAAGCTTTTTAAAGGAGAATCTGGTTTTAAACAATACTTTAATATTTAATCGAGTGTTTTAAATGTTAGACAAGCAACACTATACAACAAATACGGAAAGAAGCTGTCTCCTGCCTTAGCCACTAGGATATCATACAAAATATACAGTATATGTAAAAAAAAACTTAGGAGCTTAGAACTCTGGTCACAATACAGAAACATTCCCCTCATCCTATTAAAAAAAACGTATTTAAGACAATTTATATTTTAATTGAAAAACTAATGCTCACTAGCGATTTCTTTGTTCATGTTAAAACTTAACATTAACCACAGGCCACAAACCTAAATTAATCTGTGTTTGTATTTAGGGGTTTTGTCTTAAACAAATAAAAAAAAACAGATTGTTGAAAAAGCAAATGGTTTTCTAAATTAATTTTGGGAATTGCTTGAAGAGTCAGATGGCCCAAATTGTACAGGATACATTTTAATTCTCTGTATTTCTACACTTTCAACATGCAACAGCCACTAAGCAAACGACGGAGGTTTAGAAACCGTTCACACTAAAGGTTAAGAAACAGACAAGGGAACCGTATGAAAGGTAAACAGCTACCTGCAAACACCTGTTAACATTGGCTTCAAAGAAAGGAAGAAAAATACTCGGCTGCCAAGCAACAGCAAATGGTGCACCAAGTACCTGAGGCTGTCAACAAATCTTTATAAAAATAAGAATAGAAACTGCAATTATTCCTTTTACAATGTGATATGATAAGAAAAACGAAGAGCCGCAGGGAGACAGTGGTGCTTTATCACACTGTATGCCTGACCTATAGTAAACACATACAGTACTGAAAAAAAACTAAGTTTATTTTTTTAAACAGACTTCAGATGAATCACATACATTCCCTATTTTCTTACCCTGCAGTAGTTCATTAATATTATTGAAGCTAGAAAGACTACCTCGGAATAAGATTTAAGAACTGCTTTTGTTGGGGAGGACTGCTTTAAACTCCTTACACAATCCCACCTACTCCTTCCGGAGGATCAGCTTTTTCTGACCTGGTAAAGATGAAATATTAAAAAATAAAACATCCTCTTAGATGTTTTAATTTTCCGCTAAAATGGAAGTTGTTAAGACCTCTTACTTGAGAAGCCTCTTGCCAGTTTACTTCCTGGCTTTGAAAAATGATTTGCTTTGAGTATTTATGTACAAAGTATTACGCATGCATTGATGAAAAGAGGTTAATCAAGCACAACCTGCATGATGGCAGGAGTAGAACAAAAGGAAATTGTCACCACTATTACATCTCCTTTCAGTGTTTTTCCCCAACAGCTTATATTTAAAATCCTGAAATCATGGAACTTTCTTTAATCCCAAGACAGCAGGGATAATAAAAGGGTAAATGTACAAATCAATTAATAAGGATTAATTGAAATTTAAGCATATCTTCTCTGCAAGAAGTCTGCTATTCCAGAAGCGTTCAACAAGAATGACAACTAACACTACACTGCTTACTGAGTCCTGTTTTTGAATGCCCTGCAGCACTGTCTAGATCATTCAGACAGCCACATGAAAGCAAGTCTATCTGAGACTCTCACATTAAAAGTACACCTTGTGGAAAAAGAAAACAAAAGAAAGTTTTTTTCTTTAAAAATAAAAAAGCCTTTTCACTTGCTTTCTTTTAAAAGGATATTGTACTTCCTGAATAAGGTGAAATCTCAGACATGTCCTGTAGGTCTCCACACTCTGACTTAATGAGAGACAGAGACAGGCCTTCAGTCGTGCTGCCTGGATGCGTTGGCGAGCAAGAGCGATGGTTCATGTGATTGGATGACATCTTGGTCCGTAGGCTGGTGGTCTCCCTGGACAAGTCGAGTGACTCCGGAGAGGCCCTTTCTTTGCCTGGATACGTACCCGAGGGGGTTCCTAAAGGGTTCTGAAATGGGTAGCCCATGAGAGGAAGGGGAAAGGGATGGCGGAATGAAGGTGGGCTAAATCCCACTGTAGCAGAGAGGGGGGAAGGATGCAGGGAAGGATGGTGATGATGGCCTCCAGGATTGGGAGCAGAAGGGGTTTGGTCTGCAGAGTTCTTCCTCACCACCAGAGGCAGTGCTTCCGTCTGGTCATTGGAGCTAGGCACCTGCATGTTGCCAAAGGTGTCAAGCGGGCTGGGAATGATCACGTCGCCAAAGCACTGCAGCCGCTGGTTGGCCGTATGGAAGTTGGGGTTCTCCCCATTGACTGCAAACCGGTCACGAGGCATTTGCAGGGGTGGGAAGACCTGAGGAACCGGGCGAGGAGGTTTGGAGAAAACCTTTACTACAGTGTCTACCACCTGGGACATGGCTGTATTCAGCTCCTGCTTCAGTGTCTCAGCCAACTGCTTGCCTTCTGCATGCATCGAGGGAGGTCCTTGGGCCTTCCCTCTCTGGCTGTCCCTTTTGGGCTTTTCATTCTCAGCCGCCATGGATTGCTCTCTAATGAGGGCACGTGCCCGATCGATAAACTGCCCAGGATCCAGGTCAGACATCTCGTTGTCTGACCGGTCTGCAGTTGAGTCCTGAGCCCGCTGGTCCATACTGCCTGAATGCATGCTGTCCTCAGAGAGGTTGCCATCTTCATCGTTCTCGGAGTCTGTGCTGTCATAGATTTGGTAGAACTTCTCCTGTAGTTGCCGGAGCTGTTTCTGCATATCCTCCAGCTGAAGCTTCAGCTGCCGACGTTCTTCATGCTTCTGCTCCTTCCTGGCTGATACCAGCTGCTGGAAGCTCTGTTGCTGCTGCTGGGGCAGCTTCTGCTTTCGCTTGTTCTCTCGGTAGCTCTCCCGGGGACTAGGGGGCTGTGGTGCCCCCTCTCTATCATTCTCCCCAGCCCGCAAAGTGACACTGGGAGAGTGGCTCATCCCGCGGATTATATTCTCCACGCGGGCTCGTTTGGCTCTCAGGTGCTCGTCATTAAGCCGCTCGATATCAAACTGGCTCATGCTTGGCCTGCTGAATGGGGAGAGACACTCTTGGGGGCTCTCTCTTGAAGAGTTACTGCAGGCGTCCTCCTGATGAATCTCTGAGCCTGTGCTAGAGAGCCCACTGCCTTGAAAGCTGGGCTCTGTGCCACCATTTTTGGTCATGTTATTTTTCAACAGCTGGGAAATGATGGTGGCTCCAGGAAAAGGGATCATGGCATCTTCGTACGAGTTTGCCCTCTTCAGCAGCTTGCGGAGCACGTTTGACTTCTCCCCATCTGCATGCTGCACCACTGAACATTCAACGTCCTGCTCGGAACCGTGGGGATTCATGGCACTGAATAAGGTTGCTCTTGCTTTAGCGAAAACCACAGATGCTGTCCCTACAGTCCTTTTCACTCCAATGTCAACTCTTCTTCTCTTGGTTTGTCTGCTTAAGAGGGCTGTGCTGTCATGGTCAGGCATCACTGGACTGTTATTGTGCCATCTTCAAAAGCCTGTCAGCTGGGCACAGCTCGAGAATCCTGGGACCCTGGCCAACAGAACAAAAGGACTGATGAATCATTTTCTTTAAATTTCTCCAAGTTTCCTGACCTCAATCCTGAATAAAACATAAAATGCACTACTGGGATTTATGGCACATTACAATTATTGCAATTTATTATGTATTCTGGTTGAAATGGAACATTTTAAAAGATTTCTGCTCCAGTAGTTTAAGATGGATTTTAAAAAAAGCCATAAGCACAACAAGAAAAATAATTCTTCTGTAGCAATATCTAAAAATATAATTTTATCTGGAAGAAAACAGTCGATTATTTTGAACAAGATCTTTGACAATCATGTGATTAAATACAAGATACTGCAATAAAGCAGTAACACAAGAAGACTATTTCCATTTCTGGAACAGTTATAAGATGAGGCCTTGATGTAGCGTACTGCAGACCTGCTTGATAACCTGTAAATACATCACTCTTACTTAAGCATGAAGACACTGCAGTCCTTAGTTACAATACAAAAGGATAGATACAACTGCGATAATGAATTTGGACTTGTGTCCTTTAGCATGGTTTAGAATACTGCAGAGAAACTAGCGTTAATTATGATGGAGTTGATAATTAAACAATGAAAACCACTGAATCAAATTTGTGAAGATTGTAATTAGAAAAAAAACATATCATATTGATATGTGTGTATACACACATGCAAATAACACAGTAAACATACTGTCTGTAAAAACTGGGCCTCAAACCACATACTTTTTTAGAAAGAAAATACTTGTTAAATTTTAAGCAAAACACACAAGCTATTTTCCACATCATACCTTATTGCCATTTGAGCAGAAATAAACCAAGAAAAATTGAACATTAACCAAGAAGTAACATTAATAAGCAGAATATCTAATGTGAAACCAAAAAAGAACACCAGAAAAATATTTATATATAAAGTACAAATATTAAACCAGACACTTAAAGTAACACAAACGCCTTGCTGTTTCATTCTTGTTTCCGATTCCAAAATGGTCTTTTAGGTTGTTTTTTTTTACTGCTTGTAGTGCCATAAACTCTTGTATACCACTGGTAGAGTTCCGAGTTTGGACCACAATTTTGCCACAGAACATTTCACTAGTGCTACATCTATCTGAATTCAAACTTTACAACTGCCTTGCAGAGCCCATCTTCACAATAATAGACTAGCTTGCCAAAGGCAGCGTGATGACTTTTTGGAACTGCTCCCATCGCTTTCGGTTCACCTGTAAAAACATCTACGTGCTCCACAGGATGACATCTGTGGATAGATTTTGAGAATAACTACCCATCCAAAAAGCCAAAATTTTAGCATTTTATACATCAGCATTGTACACATCAGGCTAATCCAAAGATCTATGTAAAAGGCACAGAATATCAATTGATGTAGACAAATTGTACATTTAAAAAAACAAGGTCATATGACCTGTTTAAAAAGTGTGAAAAGAGAAGTTGCTTACAGCATCTTAAATTTCTTCCCCTAATGCATTTGCGTCGAACAGGTTTTTTTCACATCTTTCGTCCACTGAAGAAGTATTAAGCAAAGAGAATATCATTAAAAGAACACTGGGATGAATTAGGTTCTAAATTTGTCTGAGTTGCAACTGACTACACGAGTTAAATAAGGGTGCATGCTAGTAAGAAACGCAAAGTCTTTTTAAGAAGCCTATGCTTGGCCATACCTCATGCCGCAGCACTATTTAATCGTGACAAAAGAAATGTAATTCCATGCTGATTGTTTTTTAGAATGTTATAAAAACGTTCAGCATGCAAATGGTGCGAATATTAAAGAATCTAGTTTTACCAAATCACTGAACATATGTTTAAAGAACAGCGGGAGAATGTCAAAACGTTACTTAGGCGAATTTGGCATAAGGTCATCTGATTCTGGAGATCCCTCCTGTTTACGCAATGTTGAATTTACGCTTAAATTCTTAACCGTATCTTTACAGTAGTTGTACAGCAAGAGTAAAATGTGATTCCATTCAGTCTGACAGCTGAGATATAATTAATAATTCTACCAGAAACAAATTACTGCGATTGAAAGTGAAGGCTTCGTAACTCGGAAAACATTAGGTCGTCAAAATAACGCAGCAACTAAGCAGTGTTTCAAGTATACCTTTCCTAAATTAACTGTGCAATTATACTTCATTCACAATCTAGGTCGCAAAACAAAATATATCGTCTTTTAATTAAAAAGCAGCTGATTCTATGCAATGTCTCTTCGAGTTAACAAATGAAATGCGCCCTTTGCATTCACTGGCTCTAGCACAGAACTCACATTATTACAGCAAAAAAATGTTTTTGCGATTTTTCAAATTGTTAACATACAGTAGAGCACAAAATACTTAACCTACATTTGGAAACTTGTTCACAACGCAGACACTATAATCACATTAATATACAAGGTTTTAAGGTGGTCTTTCTTAATGTGTTTAAATGTCATCGTCATTTAATGCGTAAAAGTTAGGCAGTGTCTTAATGTGTATATCCACATATTCTAAAATATAAATATATAGATATACATGTGAACCTTGCGATGTTCTAACAGGAATTATAACTACTTTGAAAAAACAAACGTTCACTCGAACTTCTGCCCCTGGTCTGAACATGGGTCCATACTTTGTAAAAACAAAGACTTGGAAAGTCCAATAAACTTATAAACTTTGCTGAACAAGATTGTGTAGAACCGTCCCGCAGATTATAAACGTCAAGGGTATATATCGGTGACTTGTAGTCAGGGCACTTTTAAGTTTCCTTAAACTGACAGCAACTTAAACGAACAATAGCTTTAACAATGGGCAAAGTCTTTGTTGCTATAAAGAAACTACTCGCACCTGTCTTTTCAGAGACGCGCCGCACCTGTCTCCTATTGCCCATGCGCACTATTTAATTCCGAAAACGTTTCGAGAGAGAAAAAATCTCTCGTTTCAGACGCTTCAAGAAAGGGTTGCTATTCTGTAGCGTGTCTCAAGACCTGTCGGGGAAGGAGCGCCTGATTAGAAAGGTGGTGCTTTTCAAAGTAACGGATACATTTTTGGTGGGTATCCTCAAAACACTATCAGAAAGTATACACGATCTGCCAATTACCCCCTTTTCACTTGGTGTCAAAAACAAAACTCTTGAGAAGATGGGCAGTAACTACACTTATTCAAAGAACAAAGATAACATATCTTTTTAAGGGGGAAAGTGACGGCAAACTCTACAATGAACCCACTTGCAAGTAGTTTGCGTTTTATGTCACACATATAAAATAACACGAAGATGGAGCGTTTATGAGTAGTTCAGGTTTTCTCAGGTATTTTCACCTCGTAAAAAAACTCACCCCATCAGAATTTACGACCGCAAAAAAAAAAACTTCAAAAGAAAATTATATCTTACGATAACTGGTTCCCCTTGTTTTAACGTTCAGAAATCGTAAAACTTTTTTTTTTACATCTAAAACCAAAGCAGTACAAAGGATGCGTACCCCAGGTCCCAGAAAGCAAAAATTACAAAAGTGAACACAACTGAATTTTCCACAAAAATTAAACTTCCAGAAAATAATGATTATTACTATCTCCTTAGAAAAAGAAAAAAAGGAGCAAGTAAGCATGCAAATATCAGGCAAATCCGTACCTACCCGGTGAGATGCGAAAGAAAAAAACCCTGCTATAAGACAAAGAGAACATATGCTAATACAAAAGACTTAAAGCTACACACAGATTCTAAAAAATAATTTGTAGACTTTATAAATATATTACGCAGTAAAATAAACACTTCTTATACCCCCAAACGGACAAGATCATATATTCGCATATAAAGTTCTTGGAAGTCAATACTAGTGGCAATAAAACAACATTACTACTTACTTTAAAAGGGAAAGAGAAGCACTTATCCGTCCGACGAACACAAACCCTTTCAAACGTCTTCAGATCATTTTTTTTAAAATGTAGAAATAATGAATAGCGCATCACTGTACTACTCCATTAATCACAAATTTAACAATTCATTTTTGCCAGCGAGTAGCCCCCCCCCTCCCTCCCTTACCACCGAGCCCTACCATTCCAAACTACAGAATGAACTGGAGCTATCTAAGGACAAGGTTACTTACTCAGCAGATGAGAGGAAATTGAGCTTCTTTGCTAGTGAAAGAGAGAATACAGAGGGCTGTTCGCCTGGTGATGAATATTGTAATTTCTCAGGGTAAGCAAGAGTGATGTGCGTGTGAGTGGAAAGAGCTCTTTTGCGCCGCTCTCCTTTCTGGACTGAAATTGTATTTCTCTCCGAGCCGAGCTGGGCAGAGCTGAAGCTCTCTCCCACCAACAAGATTCACTTTAAGACGCAGCTGAAGGAAACAGGAAGACGGCGCGTCATAATCATTGTGATGTAACATTTTCACCTACCAATAAGAACTAGCCGCTGGATTTAGAGGAATACAAAACAGTGAACTTCACCGAAAAAAAAGCCTTGGATACTATTAAAAGCAAAAGAAGGCTTCCAACACCTTCCCAGAAAATCTGCAAGTGAATTGGGAGACGTGTAAGGAAACTCGTAGATTTTCACATTTCTTCGTTAGAATGCTTTCATATTTATATAAATGTATATACATACATTGTATATATACTGTACTGTATATACGGTATAGATACTTAGAAAATGAAAGTAAAGAATGTCAAGGAGTTTGGTGCTACTTTTCACGTAATTTTACGAATATATACATTTACACATCATCCAAACGAAATATCGTCTTACCGTAGATATCTTTGAATCACACAAAATTAATAAACAAATGGACACAGAAGCATTTTCTTTTTCTTTTGTCATCTTAAGATGCGTGTAATGCCATCTGTAGATTTTTTTTCATGGTTTAACTTGCCCATTTATGCTGTTCAAGAAGTCTAGAAAGTCTGCAAAATGAAAGTTTGTGGAGATTCACTTATTTTCCTTCTTTGTCGGCAAATACTGTATGTATTATATTGTACATAGCTGTGTCAGATTTAAAACGGTAAGAATATGAATATTGAGACGTATTGTGAGTCAATGCAATGCTTACTTACTACAGATTGTTAGAAAGAAAACTAGAGTGATTCGTGTGACACTTCCAAAAAGCCTTTATTTGGTAAATTGACTTTCTTTTTCTTTATGTCAATACGGTCATCCTGGACATTTTGTTCTTCGAATAGTATGAGGTCAGAAAAATACATTAAATACCACATACCAACAAAATATCACAAAACACGTACATATTGTATTCAACTATCAAATCATCAGGGAAATGCGTTTTCAGGGCCTAAAGCAAACTCTTTACTCACGTGGGTATGCCTGGTATTTTCTCTTAAACGCAAATTATTTCTAAACTTAATGTATAGAAAGTTCATGGGGTAGGAGTAGGTTTTTTACGTCATCGTATGCTGGTGTCATTGGAAGCTTTTTCCAAACTAACTGGATCTGCCTGTACCTAAAAAATAATTATTCCTACAGTAGCCGATGACGAATAACTGATTTAACTGAATTGGTATTAAAAAAATGTTTTGGGTGTTACGGAAAAAAGAAATTAAACAATATCAATGTGCCTATTCAAAAGCTCCGATACTCAGTGTCAGATAGTTAAAGATCTGAACTTGATGAAGAAAACTTGCAGGAAGTCCTTTTTTTTTTTCTAAAACTGAAGCTTCCACTTACCAACATAATCATCATCATCGCAACAGTAGCAACTGAATAATTGTAAATGTTAAATACACAAAAAACTAAATTAAAAGGCTTTCTTTGTTGTATTTCTTCCTCTTATATTGAAGAGAAATACATAAAAACGATAATTATACGCTCTATTAAACACTAAAATAAATGCACCAGAATGTTTAAAAAACCAACGTCGCCTCGATATGATGGGGTTAAATACTTGGACTGTAAATATACTTCACATATGTGCAAGTATTTAATTCTATAAAAATGATTATTCTTTCTTTCCTTCTTACGATTACAGTTTTAAAATAAGACCAACCGTTGTATCTTTCAAGGGGCAATTATACTAGTAAGGATTTTCTAAATTCTGTCAGCAGTCTTATCTTCAACTTTGCTTCTTTGTGATTTAATTGAAAGGTATATCAGAACAAAAGTAAACCATATTCTTAATACTTCAGTATAAATTTCTTTTTTTTTACTGTGGAGGAATTTACTGTAATGGTTGCACCGTCTGTAGTTCTTGTACTCGTTCTTTAAACATGTCGTTTTAACAACATGCTGTACAGTACTCCCTGAATAGGAGAGAAGCCTTGCATTTATCTGTGCTTCTGAAATATTCACAACTTAGTTTATTAGTGCTTTATTTAGAAAATGTCTGTTTCATCCTTACAACGTACCAATAGGAGTTATCTGAAATGTTCTATATTGGATTATTGCGTTAATGTTTGTGAGAGAAAAACCTGTAGTTAAATAATAACACCAATACCATAAATATATGCTTCAGGGCATAAGATCATCTTCTGAATACGAACATCTCTCCAAAGAGTATTTACCTTAAGACGCAAATTAGTTCTTTATTCCTGTACTTTTCTATCGATGTTATATTTAATAGACCTTAAACATATTGAAAACAATAGCGTATAGAAAATAAAAAAGGTTGATATGTATTATTCTCGAATAAACGTGAAAGCGAAGTAAACAATCTGTATGCTACCTGTATCTTGCGTTGTTGAGTAAGATTCAATTTAATAAACCCTACATTTGGCTATACAGTATGTTAATTTTAACGCGCTTTTCTCCCCTTAAAGTAGCATTTTGGAAATATAATGGTTGGAAACGTTGTTTAAAATGTAAATATACACACTACATTATTGGGCAATTAACTAATTGAACAAGGAGTAAACGTAATACTTCAGGTTATCGGGGAAAGATGAGCAACCCAACTCTAGCTTCCACAGTATGTCTTTATTTTGAATATCTTGTTTTTTTAGTCTTCTGTTTTTTTTTTACTATGCTGGTTTATTAAAACTAGTTTGAAAACATCTCCTGGATATGGATGTTTATTTTGTTAATGTCTTCATCAAGGTTGGTCCTTTTGTCTGAGGTGCGAAGTAGCGGTCTGTAACGGCTGTATGCAGTGTGTTTCTACTGTGCCTCTTGTGGGTTATCGGATAATTAAAACATTTTAGGACAGTCGGCAATGTCTTAATATGAAATGATTCGCTGTTCTTTAAGATCTCAGTTCACCTAAAATCTGTGAAGTTGAAATGGGGATGCAACAGTTTGCGGCCTAATAGTCTGTGGGGTTCTGGTGGTACATATCTCCTCTTTGTACAATGCCCCTGCAGTACTTGGCCAGACTGTGTCAAACACTGTGACACACAACGCAGTGCAGAACAGAGTTGGAGCTTTTTTGACTATCGCTAGTACGCCGACAAAATCACTTCATCCTTGTACTGACACCACGGAGGTGATTACAATGACTATAAATACAAGAGCAAGCACCTCGGCTTTAGGGCTAAGTACAACAAAGTTTGCATGCCGTCAATTTTATTTTGATGTCTTCTCTTTTTTCTTAGCGGTGGTTATCAAGGAAGGGGAGGGGGGTTCATTCAGAGGTCTTTAAAATATTAACTCCATGACAACAAGTGCGTTAGCCTTCCTGCATTTCTTATTTATGTGTATTTGACACTTTCCAAGATGCGGCGCTGACGAATACATTTAATAATAATCGACGTTTAAAATAATATATAGCAGCCTATTTTAGAATAATTTCATATTTAAAAATATTTTGACAAAGATGATTTTAGTTATTTGGATTTAAAATGATATCTGTAAGTACTTATTCCAAAGTCAAAGGCTTGAGATCGATAAACTATTGTTTTATTTGTATTATCTTCAATAGAAATATCTTTCATAATAGCAAATAATGCTGTGAATCCCTCCCCATAACTCTAAGGATAACGGTGGGCTAATCTGAAGACTGAGAGAACCGCAGCTTCAGTTTCACTAATGTGTCAGTTCGCCATAGGAAATATACTGTATGCAGCTTGTTACCAGTATAATGAAAACAGGGTTCTTCCTTTTCTTTTGTCTTATTATCTGATTTCAAAGTTCCTCAATATTCTTGCTTCCTTTAGCCCCGTGCGTTATTTCTCAGTTCCTCGTGTAATTGTACTTATTTTATGATATGGTGTTCTTCCCTCCTAACAGTAACAATTTGTATTCCCTTCTATTTTTTTTCCAACAAACAGAGCGCTTTCGTCTTTTTCTTCTCCAGTTGAAGCTCCAACTGCTGGCCTGGGCGATTGACTTTGAACATTCTTAATGACAGTCTTATTTTTTTTCCTATTTCTTTCAGCGAACTGTAGATACTGCCAAAAAGGAAAGGCGAGTCATTCAGGCAGTTTCCATGTCGCAAGCAAGTGTTTTTGAGGATGAATAAATTGCTAGGAAGTCAGAACTTCGGTGTCAGGAATTTCTTTTCCAAAACAGGTGTTCCAACTTATTTTGAAACGTGAGCAGTAATCCTGCATCACCCCCAAAGGCGTGATTGGTGCGCAGGCTAAATGGAAAAACACATTACAACATTAAAGGAATATTGTTTAGAAAAGGAAGACGCTGCTGAGGTGTAGAGGAAGCCTGTTTATTAACACTGGACACCTCTTATCTCAGAGTATTCCAGATGGATCACCCTTCAATAATTCATGCTCTATTTTTTGTCAATAGGCTTGTGCGGTATCACCACCTTGATGTTAATTGCTGATAAAGAGGGCAATGCTTCTGAAGAGGCACACTTTCCTACAGTATGTGCATCTGTATAAAACTGAAATTCAAGATGATGGCAAAGTCAGCACACTGTTTCAGTAACAGTCCTTTTCATGTGCAGAATACACAAAACAAAAGCACTAATAATGGACGAATAATCAATAATAATGCAAAGAAAAGAAAAACAAACTGCTGATCTTAAAGAGATTTTAAGTTTTAAAAAGGTCTCTTGTAATAAAAACAGCAAAGATACTCCATTACTTTTTTTTTTTACCAATATAACCCCGAAATGCAGTTATAAAGTCATATGACACCAAAAATCCGTGTTGTAGAATTCCGGTATTTTCTGAAATGAAATGATTATGTATTTAAACAAACTTGCTGAGCTACTGGTGTCGGCGTGAGCTGAAGTGCTCAGCAAAGCCCCTTTCATCTGTCAGATCAGTTAGTGTTTACAAGATTAAACACTGACGGTGGATTCTTATTCCCGGTGGCTCAATGTCCTGGTGGATGTTAACAGGCAAAACATTAATTTATTCACCATAACTAAGTGTTAAGATTTTAAAGGAGAGAAAAAATATGTTGTTTTTGCAATCA